AGCAAGCTTAAGGTGCAGAGAATCAATGAGAGCCGGTCTCTTGGCAGAAACTTACTAGGTACTTGGAGGATCATGGGACTTGGTAAGTAAGGTTATAAGTCCCCTCATTGGGGTTATCATTATAGTTACATTAGTTATAACCCTACTTACTAAGTCCCATGATCCTTTAGGTAGGGCCCACCTAGCTTGGGTTAGTGTTTGGGATTTGGGGCTTCGGGTTAAGGATTTGCAGTTTAGCGTTTCGGACTTTGGGTTACTAAAATTAGTACTCAGAAAACGGCTTGCCTTTGATTTTGCAGCTTTTCTGTAGGCAGGAATTAGTTGAAGGAGGCCTTCTAGGTTTCTGTAGGCCGCACTTTCGGGTGTTTATAGGCTTCTGGGTTGACAGGGCCTTGCTACACATTGGGATAGGTGCTTTAAGTGACCAGAATGTGAGGTGATGCGAGCATATACCTGCCAAAGGTACCTGCATGCGCAAAAGCGAAGAGTATGTTTGTAACCTATTGAAAGCAGATTGTAGTACGGATACCCTCTTATGGTCCCTGCAAAATGCCAGTGCTTCGGTATTACATATAGGTTTTCGCACAGAAACCCTACTCGATTATTTACGGCCCCTTTGTTATCCCAGGTTGGGCTTGCATCGGACCGCTCACTGTTTCCATCACCTCGTGAGCGGGCAGTAGAGGCTGCAGCAGCAGACGTGGGCAACGCGGAGCACCTTTGGAAGCCACGATTGGTGGCCTGTTCCGACTTGCCAAAGTCCTTAATATAGAGGCCTAAATAATTACTAATACTTATGGGGGGTTCCTGATTATGGCTATAGTAGAATCTATCCAAAACCCTATACTAATTATTAAGGCCCCTACCTCAATATAGAGAGCTTGAATAATTGGAATACCCGGGTTTGGAGGTATGTTGGGCCCAAGACACTTTCACTGCAGCTTCTCACTCAGTGTTTTGTCATCCGACAAGCCAACCCTTAATCCAGAACCATGCACCTCTGAGGAGTCAGTAAGCCCCAGAAGCGGCAAAATTCTAGGTGGCAGCATTAGAGGCATCTCGTCACCAACCAAAACACACACACACACACATCTTTCTCTTTCTACAAATGCCAAAGATATGACCAGTGCCTGGGTTTAGGGTATTTCTGGTTGCCTGTAGTAGAGCCAAATCAAGCCAGTAGAGCTGATCTGACCTCAGATAGTTCAGGCATTTGAGTAGAAGATCTAGACAGGAACGACAGGGGTACATATATAGACATATATGTATATGCGTGTTACTGCAATTGGGCTGCAAGTGCTTACACTCGTACTTATCATCTACTCAGTGTGTTCAGTGTTGTTCATGACAAAACTCCAGACCTACGAGTCGAGGCAGTTGTATGTTCCTGTGGAAGCATGGCTTCTCGTGGTTTGCGGCTGTAAGTGCGGGTGCTGCTTTGCCTCTGCTTGTGTGTTGACATACTAGTCTTCAGCTTCATGAATCGAGTCTTCCACTTTCACGGCTAGAATAACCCTAAACCCTCAACCCTACTTCTTGCCTGGAGGTGGTCCATGAAGTCCCTCAGCAGGGTCAAGGACGTCTTTGCAAGTAGGGCTACAGTACTTTTTACACTTGTGCTCGAGAGACGACCTTGTTGTGCATTCCTCTTGCCGACTTTCTGCAGCCCCACGAAGGATGACAAGCGTGTCAAAATCGATGATGATACGTATGTGCCACTACGTCAAACATTAACAATGCCGGTATGTGTCGCCATATTCGTGCATACAATGAACATGCCTACTTGCTTGTTTATAAGGTCAGCTCGACGAGGTCAACAAACAAGAGTCAGAATAGCAATAATTGATGCTTGTTCTCTAAGCCCTAGATTTGCATTCGTAGCATGACTTTGGCAGCCACATCTGCTGTTTGCGCCAGTCTGTACAAACGCCAGCACCCCGGCTGCCACCGGCGCTGACTGAGCACGGTTCATGGCTTTAAGATACGGGGTACTTCCGCGCCTAAGTTGCAATGACGAACTGCTCAAGAGGGAGTCTTCCGTAATCAAGGGGCGATAGCCATGATAGGCTAATTACGTTTTTTGTTGTGTAGGGTTGGGGACCTACCTTGAATCTTGCACCCTGAAGCCTTCTTGGGTTTGGAATTTAATGGTTGCGAAAACATTGAGTTGGAGTCCTGTCGATTCGGAGTTTGCGCATCTTTTGTAGACGCAGGAGTCGGCGTAGCAGTATTGTACTAGTTCTTGGCGCAAGATGCTACAGAAACATCAGGACATGCATGGGAAGGAGTTGGTAGTGGCTTTGCCCTGTCAGCCCCTGTGGAAATTGTCCACCGAAGAATCCAAAACCTTACTGTAAGTCAGGGGCTGCAGGTTGCTGTTGTATCTGAGACATTACAGACAGCAAGCATTTTCCTCCTTCTGTCCATCTCTTGGTGTAGGCACCTGTCACAGGGATGATGCATCGATGTCGGGATTCTTTGTTGATTTTGAGCTCCAACCGTGCCTCCAAGTCAGACGATCGGGAGTGTGGTTGGCGGATAGGACAGCATAGCCAAAATCACGGTCGGGAAGCTCGATGGCTTCATTCAGGTGCATCTTAGAGACGGTTTGAGGTTCGGATCTAAAACCTATAGCTGAAACTAAATTAGCTGCTCCGCAACAGAGTAAGCAACAGTCGTTGTTTTTGTTGACGCTAATGCGGGGGTGCCAAAGTGGGGGTCCTGAATATAGGGGCCTTACTAATTAGAATAGGGTCTTGGGGCCCATTATATTACATTAGTAAATATAAGGAACCCCCAAAATCATATCGGAAACTATTTTGGTCCCTACAGCATTTATACTTGTCTAGATCAGGTAGCAATGCTGGTGCCAACATTTCGTTTCAGGGACCCCTGGACGAGACGAAAAAGCTCCGCAGACGAAGACTGACTCTAATCTAACGGTCCATGTGTACTCTATGACAATCTCTCACAAGTACATCGTCGTATTTGATTGTAGTTATCATTGTCTTCATTCTTATCATCATATACATAGGCCTACAAGGACTCCCTGCATAGGCGTTGAGGGTCAACGTGTATACAATGTAGCGGTTTGTGGACCCAAGTTTAGCAGGCATAACAGATTCCCAACCCACAGCACTAGAAGATACGCTCATAGCATAATCGGCGCATCCGAAGATATGATCGCAAGGAACAGCTAGAGGCACCTAGTGGTTCTTGATAGCGAGCCATGACACGAACATCAGCATAATATGTTACCAATGCGCAGAAGAATTACCATGCAGGCTCACTGCCATGGAGAATGCCGGTTCTTGAGCCTGTCTCTTAAGGTCTTACACGTATATGTACTGACCACAATAGGGTGGATGGCCGATGAGTGAAACCGAGTGAAAATTCACAAGTAGCTCAACAATAACCTTGACTAACATATACGTCTAGATGACCGTGCGGCATTTACAAAGTTACACTTTCGCGACGGATCTATCGTTTATTCATGATATGTAGCACCCGAGAACCAACAGCCGCGTGCAGATCTTTTCGACCACGTATGTATGCAGGCGTGAAAAGGTGCATCAGTGCCAAACCACACACACACACACACACACGCAGATTCACATAATATATACATATGTATATATGTATGTAAAACCGCATGCCATATTATACACTATACATAAGCATATATGTAGGCCCCTGTATGTAACCATGTATGTGTAGACATAATGCGAGACAATATTCCAAAGCTACGCTTTGGCGGTCCGGTGTTGGTTGGGATCTCTAACAGCTTCTCACACGGTATGTCCCGTATGTTGTAGGATTCGGCGCTTTTTCGATTGGCATGGTTTAGATTTTGGGATCTTAGCGTAGCACCCATGGCTAGGTTCCTGCTTTTGGTGAGGGCCGTCGTGTGCCCTGACCTCATTCGGCTGCCCTTTCAGCCAAAAATAGCCTGCAGAGGCTACTGCTCTCAGCACCGGACCTTGCAGGAGAAGGAACAAAATGGCGGAAGGTTTAGGGTTTAGTTTTAACCCTAAACCCTAAACCCTAAACCCTTGTGTTGCAGAAGCAGAAGCATGTTCTGGCTCCAATGAACCCTCACCCACTATTCCCGCCTCTACCAGCAAAGGAAGTCTCGGGAACACTTCATCGCTGATGCTAATTGGGCACCTGAAGCCTTGGCTCTTCTGTATAGGGGCCTTATAGAACATTAGAATAGGGTTGTGGGGTGTACTGTAGTATAAGTGTAATCAAGGATCCTAAAGGATAATACGGAAAATATGGATAGAATTACCGTTGATTCTCTAGTACCGTGCTTGGGTCTCCCTAAGACTTCACCCGTGGTTTCGAGATGGCGGTCGCGAGAATTTGGGTTGATCCTTCTTCTCAACTTAAAAATAGTAATTCAGTGATAGTAATACAGTCATAGTAATAATTAATAATAGTAATAGTCATAATAGTAGTCAAGCCTGTCCCAAGGCCTCCCCAGCCCCTGCGCGGCGACTACTGCAAGTGCTGGGTTCACGGATCTAGGCTGCCTCTGTCGAAACGCAGCCTTGATGGCAGCTCGCCAACACACACACTGCATCCTAGCGGCCCAGTGTGCCACCTCCTACCACTACTACCACTACTGCGACGACGACGACTACTACTACTACTGCTGCTCCTGCTAATAGTCATACCAGTAATAATATTATAACCATATCATAGTATTATCAATGGTAATATTAATATCGAGAAGCCCAAGACCCTCCGGCTGTGGCCGCTGGCTTACAGAGCACGTCGCCCCAACACCGTTCCTGGGCACTGCCCTTTGTCGCTCCTCGGATTGGTTGCAGATTACTTTCGTTCATACCCGAATTGGGATCTTGGTGAGTTGCTCTCTGAATTCTGTACTTTGGTTTAGAGTCAGGGGCTTAAGGCTTTTGCTGTAGGCTTTTGTTGAAGGATCTGGGAAGCCTGCAGGGCCCCATCTCTTTGGCTTTGCGAGGCAGTGCTGTGCGATGGCAAGATCTCGTGGAAGGCGCCAGGGCTGCGAACCCTTGTGGGAGCGTGCACCCTGGAACCCTAACCCGAGAACCTTGATTGATGGTGGCCGAAATCTATGAGAGTGCCTCATGTTTTTCCGAGTGTGAGAGCATAAACACCACAATCTTAGGTATACGTTGTCAAATACATACATACATACATACATACATACATACATACATACATACATACATACATGCGCACACACATACGTATATGTGATGAAATGCTCGGAGCACCCCAAACCCTAAAGCCCAAACACCTGGCCTGCTACGTGCGAGAGTGAGAGTCGAAAGCCCAAACAGCGCCGCGAACAAATCATCGCTCGGCAACCGGAGTCACAAGGTCCTACAAGCGCCTACTTCTGACATAAGGTTGCCTTGGGGTTTAGGAGTTAGGAGCCTACTGCCTACTTGCTGGAACTTTGGTGGCTATTGGGCACTCTGCGTAGACAATATAGAAGCGAAGCCTAAATAGTTACCAACATTATTCCTTTGGGTTCTTTGTTATATTTATACTATAAGGGAGCCCAAAATCCTATTCTAATTATTAAGGCCCCTATACTACCCCCTAATAAACCCCTTATGGCCGACTTAAGAGAGGGACGCTCCCAAGTTTCGGGCGTATCCTTTGCTTGGAGGCATTTGCTCTGCTGGAGGCGGCAGCAGGGGGCGGTAGTTGTTGCTCTTGTGGTGACTTTTTGGAGGGTTACCCTAAAGTCTAAAGCTCTTGTAGTGACTTGTGGAAAAATTAAAACAACTAAAGTTTTTGTGGTGACTTTTTGGAGGGTTTGGAAGAAAGGATTTGTGCAGTTTTTTCCACTTTTCGAGCTTAGGGCCTAGGGTGTAAGGAAAGGTGCCATTGCACAAATGCAAGTCTCTGCCAGCTCCCCGCGTGCATTTCTCACGAACTCACGAACTCAACTCCTCAATTTCGAGTCCGACAGAGGTACGCAGCACTTTGACCTAGGAAACAAATACAGTGAACGTGCTGTATCAGGTAGGGTCCCACAAGCTTTTTAATTAAGTTCCATTACCTCTGGATCTTATACTCTGAATCCCCATTCGGATACGAAAAAAATAAACCGTTGTAGAGCACATAATTTGCTCCTTATGGTATTACCCTGAACCTCAACTCCGAACAAGTGACGACGAGAAAGCCAGACCCCCTTACGGCCTCGGTCATCTCTGAAGCCTGACTTCGCTACGTAGGCTCACAAGCAGTCAGCCAGGCGGGCCACAAACACCCAAGAGGACACCACACCTCGAACCAGCATTTTGAGTTGCATCAACGGTCCTGAAGCGGAACCCTACCCCTAAACTCTAAACCCTAAACCCTGTAGAACCCTTTAAAGGAGCCCTTAAAGGAACCCCATAACCCTACTTATAACTACCCATGAACCTCTTACAGCAGCGTTCCTGTAACGTAGCTCAAGCCGACAAGTCCTAGTAGTCCTAATCTCAAGTGGACTTGTGAAGTCGACAAACCCTAAAAAAAGGGGCCTTAACAATAATCAGCATAGGGTCTTGGGGCCCATTATACTAAAGTGATAATAAGGAGCCCCAAAATAGCATAGGTAATTGTTTCAGCCCCTGCATTAAACTCTAACCCCAAACCCTTAGGCAAAGTCATCTGCTCCTCCAAGCACAGATAGCCCTGGACCGACAACCCAAAATTCAATTTTCCCAAAACCTTCGGAACCTTTTAGGAGCTTTCGGGTTTAGGGGTGGACTTCATCGGGGTGAGACCGGTCTGCGACACCGCAACATGACGACGTCTTGCATAAAGCCGATGAAACTCCTGGGCTTTGTAGAATCCTACAAGAACCTAATATAGGGGCATTAACAATCAGACTAGGATTTGGGGGGTAGATCATACCATAATTATAACAAGAAGCCCCCAAAACCCTATTCTAATGATTAAGGCCCCTAGATTACGCACACTAAACCCTTATGACCTCATGGAGCTTTCAAAAAACCCCTCAAACGGAACCTTACTCTGAACACTTATTGTTCATGCCCCAATATGATGAAACCTCCAAAGTCCCTCATAAAGCCGTAGATTCATTATATAAGGCCCCCGATACTATGGGGCTTCTACAATCCTCTGTGAAGCCTGAAAGACTATTAATTATAAACCCTTAAAGTCCATGAATTGAAGCCTTAAAAATCCGTTAATTATGAGAAGTCCCTGAAACGCCTTCAAGTCCCGAACTGGATACCGATCTCAGTGTCGTCGGCCTCGCCGCCGTCGCAGCCACCGCCTTTGTCACACCGCTCCAGCATGCGCCCTCGACAAGCGCGGGTCAAGGCCTTCGTAGGGCTCAGGGACTTGTACCCTAAACCCTAATGTAGGGGCCTTGATAATTAGAATATGGTTTGGGGTCCATTATACTATAATTTTCATAAGGAACCCCAAAAACCCTATTCTAATGATCAAGGCCCCTACATTAAACCCCTAAAC